TTTACTCAGAACCGACAATTCGTCCATTGTGTGTAAATGAGGCAGAAAGTCAGATCAGCAACCAGGGACTTGGTCCACTGTTATTCAACCTTTGTTGGTGACGTCTGAGGTGACTTGAGAGGCCGATACGGGCTGGCAGCCTACCGGTTTCCCACTTTTGGGGAAAAGCTTCCTAGATCAGGAAATTTGAGTGGATTTAGGGAAATGGCAATTTTTGGGGAAATTGATGGAAATATGATTCTGTATAGTATTATGAATGGATTTATGCTTATTATTCCAAAGACTACATTATTTTCCTTAAGAAAAAATATAAATAATACCATTGAGTTTAACAGTGGTGAGTGAAATGATCTACCGTACACTCAAAGACTGCATTTTCATTCTTGTATCATAAAAAAATAAATAAATAGAAACTAGGTTAACAGTGATGAAAGGACCTGTGCTTATTATTCCAACGACTACAATTCCACTAAGTTTAACAATGGTTAGTGAAATATATACTTATTACAAAAGAATATATGTTTAATAATAAAAGTTTAAGACTTCATTTGAGCCTTATTTTTCTTTTCTTTTTCTAAAACAGTACAGGTCTCCATTACAAGTACTGTAATGGACTAATTTACTGCCTACTAGTGTGTGTATCAGAGAGAGAGCGAGAGAGATTTTATGCATAAAGGTTTATAAAAAAAACTAATTTAATGCATACCGGTAATAATAATTAAATTAAGATAATTTTTTTTAGAGAAATATTATTCATTCACTGGAAATTTTTACATTAGTTTGGGGAATTCAAGGTTTTGCTTTGTGGGAGCCCTGATACAGATCTTCCTGTAAGTTTTTGTATGTGCACCCTACACAAAGAGTACAGTACAGTGGCCCCTCGGTTAACGAACTCAATCCGTTCCAGAAGGTCGTTCGTTAACCGAAACCATTGTTTCAATGGGTTTTTGGGTAATTGGTTCCAGCTCACCGAAAATTTCCTAAATTCAACAAAAATGGTAGAAAAGTTCACTTACTTTGAGGTGTGTATGTAGAAGGCTCCTGGATGATGATGATGATGATGGGATTTAGAATATGGGTGGAGGAGAAGGAAGAAGAGAAGGCATTGGGGTGGAAGAGAAGTCACCCCATGGTGCCATTTCACCCATAAAATTTTAGCTCTCTGGTTTAATTCAAGATTATTTTCTTTAAATCAACGCTGCACTGCATTATATATTGTCAATATATAAAATATATTTCAAAATGACCAATAATTTGCTTGGAAACACAGAAAAAAAGCGTTTAGTTGAAGAGAGTCTCAAGCAAGATGTTACCTCCACTGAAAACAGAGAGAGACTGACGCCTGTTTGCTGTGTTAAGAGGCTGGATGCCGCGCATTAAACTAGTCACTTTACCTTCAATTTTGTTCAATAATTGTTAAAATGACTAAAAAATTGAATATTAAACTTTTAGAATTATTGAATAGTATAAACTTCTTGATATTTACAAAAATAGTAAGGAATTTAAGCCCTAGAACCGATTAATGTATTGGCGGACTGATACTAAAGCTGGTTGCCCTGTCAGTGCAAGCGAAAACATGTTGAGGTCGGTTCGTAAGAAGTTCGTTAAGCGAATTTTTTTTCGTTAACCAAATTGAAGATCCTTATGGAAGGCAGTTCGTTAATCGAAATTACGTTAACCGAGGTGTTCGTTAAACGAGGGGTCACTGTACTGGTACTGTAGATGATGAAATATAACTGTCTGGATATTAAACTTAAGATTTTATGTTTAGTTCACTTTCAAAGACACTTAGGGTATTTGTTCCCTAACTTATAGGGTAGGATTTTTTTTTTAAGAGATTTTCCCATAATTTTCACAGAAAATACGGCTGATTTTCAACCTCGTAAACTCGCTCACAGATCTGGAATTGAGAGGATTTTTCTCGAAAAAATCTGAGTCAATTTCAATTCTTGGTACCTGTATTGGAGAGTTCTGCCTAATTGGGATTCCAGCTAATGGAGATACAGTACTGTATTATGTTATAGTACAGTACCCTATAGTATTTTGATGGGTGGGAAGGAAACACAGGAAAGAGCCAAGTTTCTTTATTTCTCTAACATTTTGGGCTACACAGAATACAGTACATCAAGTGGAGGAAATCAGAGACTTAGGGTATGGACCCAGGGTGCACCTCCCCTCTTTGGTGTTGGAGCATGATTGGCTTTTATTTTCAGATCCTAACCTGACTATGGGATCTTTATGTGTGATCTCGCTGTTAGGTCTGTGGCATTTATTAACCAGCACATGAAACCCTCCCTAAAGGATGAGATAAGGGAATGAGAAAGGCCTTAGAAGCAGCATATATTAATTTGTAGAAATTAAATAACAAGCCATAGGGAGGATTTCATGTGCTGGTCAGTAAATGCCAAAGACCTAACATTGACATGGTACAGTATCATGAAATAGATCATCATATGAAATGAAAAGACATGATATTGTTATTTAATATATGAATTAATGCTCAATGAAAGGCTTTTTGTTGGAATGTGACTTGTGTCAATGAATTTGAGAAGCACACTCCACTTCTCAACTGGCATTTGTGGATTATGAATTAACATTAGGCTTTCAAAATGATAGTAATAATAGTAGTCATTCATATTACTTGTGTCAGTGAATGTGATGGGATAAATTTTATAAGCAATACAATACAGTCTACAGTACTGTACTTGTTGCAAGAAAATTTCAGTCTTTATTTAAATCACCATGCGATGTGGTTTGACTTGTCTCCTTCATATCTGATTTTTATCTTACTCATGAAAACAGGTGTCTATCTTAACTACTGATTTAAAACCCAATACATTATCTAGTAACTGTTGTCAAAGATGATAGGCAAGGTATTGAATTAGGTGGTACATTACTGTACCACAGTAGGTTCAGTACCCCTCCCCCCACATGAATTCAACCATAATCTGTCATCTACTGTTTAAAGGAAATCTTCATTAATTCTTCATGCATTCTGGCCACCTTACAGTTCATTAGGAAAGGATTTGTAAGAGTGAAACTACTATGATACCCTATACTGTACAATACCCTGTATATCCCTCTGTCTTAAGCCAAGTAAGAGTTTAGTGTGTGGAATAAACATGCAGACCTTGGTATACTACTGTACAATAATATTGGTAGTTATTGTGAAATAAAAAAATAAAACAAAGCATAAAATATATATACTGTGTATATATATATATATATATATATATATATATATATATATATATATATATATATATATATATATACTGTATATATATATATATATATATATATATATATATATATATATATATATATATATATATATATATATGTATATATATATATATATATATATATATATATATATATATATATATATATATATATATATATATATATATATATATATATATATATATATATATATATATATATATATATGCAAGTAAATCAATTGTAGGTGCTCAGGGTGAGCAGACTAGTCTGTACTCACCCCTGAAGATGTGAATCATAATTTAAAGCGCTTTGGGAACTGTGGTTTTCTTTTCTTTTCCTTTGTGGTTATCAGTATATATATATATATATATATATATATATATATATATATATATATATATATATATATATATATATATATATATATATATATATATATATATATATATATATATATATATATATATATATATATATATATATATACAGGGTATGCTATAAATCTAACGGATCCTACTACGAATATTCCTATAACGAACGGTTTTACCTATAAAATTGAGAATGCTATAACGAACGAAACTCCTACAACGAACATTATTTAAAATTTTTTTTTTTTTTACTAATTTATTGTTTTTTTTATTACAAGTATTAATGATATTCTTTATTTCAGGGGTTTAGATGCATATTTTTGCACTTTTTTACAATTTTTACAATTTTATATTATATTTTTCAATGTTAAGTGGTTGTATTTGGGGGCCTGGAACGGATTAATCCTATAACGAACGAATGTTATAACGAACAAGGTTCTATAACCAATTAGGTTCGTTATATACACAATAAACAGTGCTTATTATTTAGATGAAACCAAAGTTCACTGTTTAGACCAAGGCTTTTCCCACTTATGCAGGATGGCTAGAATCAAGGCTAGTAAACATACATACCATGCATCCTTCCTTACAAATCACTTGAGACCATGTTCTTTTCTCATTCTGGCATTCTTTTGTTGATTTGAAGTAGACTAATTTCAGTTAGTAGCGACATAGGTGCTGTATTTGAGCCAGAGTTAAAAGAATTCATTACTTAATGTATGGTACAATTGCCCACAGGTACTGTACTGTGTAGTGTTCCACCCCTCGGTCGTCTTCCTGAATCAGTAACTTGAGGAGCAATTGCCAACAATATATTTTCGGTAATATGTGTACCGGGTATTCAAGATTTGTGATTCTGATGTTGTCACATGTTAGGAAAGGCCACCGACAGATGGAACACTATACCTATGGGTAACTGTTCATAGAAGATAATGTTCGGTGTGAAATTCCTTTTCTTTTAAGTTATTGAAGTATAAGAAGTTTTTTAAGAATTTGTTGTGAAGTACTGTACAGTACCTACTTACTGTATGTTGGTTATTTATCAAGAGCTACAGTAGGCTGCCATTAATATTTTATCATATACACTATGTTTTCAGAGTTTTGTTTTGTTTTATAAAAGGTGTCTTGCTAGATATATTTGTATTTCAAATAATGGCATCTACTGTATACAGTACACTTGTCTTTTTCACAAATTGACTTTAAGGGCTAGATTCCTACACCATCATGCTTGTTGATGTGTTGTGTGTTCTCTGGGTATACCTTCTCACAAGATTTATATGCAGGTGATCTAATGTTTCCTGTTATTTTGTAATGTAGATTATGTCTCATTAATATTAGTGTTACCAAATTTTGCCTTAAAAAAATTGAATATCCACTGAAATAATTTTCTTTTTCTTTTGACAGATAACTGTGTATAGCTAGTGACAGACAAGATGTTAAGATTTATGAAGAAAGATAAGGATAAGGAGGATGACAAGAAGAAGAAGAAAGATAAAAAGGAACGAAAGGAGTCCAAACGTTCAAAAGACAGGGCTACTCTTACCTTAGATGAGTTAAAAAGATTGGATGAGGCCAGACGAAGCCTTATTGGTAAGGGGCGTAAAAAGAAAGATGACAAATTGCCTAGTGGTATTACGGCTGATTACATGGAGCAGTTCAGATCAGGGCTCGGGAATGATCAATCAGAAGTAGATTTAAGCTCTGCTGGTACTTTTCAGGAGTTAAGGGAACGTTATGAAGCCATGGCATCAGCCTCCAGTCTTCAGAGTGATTCCAGTAGTGATGGAATTTCACTTAGATCAGGTATAGGAATGCCACCCAGACCTCCAAAACGTGGAATCTTAAAGGGGAAGGGAGACTTTGATAGTGCAGAATACCAAGGTGTAAAAGGAGACATAGATGATGAATCTAACCTCTTAGAAAATACCATGCAAAATGAACTTATTATGTATGAAAACCTCCGTCAAGACCGAGCATTGTTAGTGCAGAGATTGTCCATCACATCCTTGACCAGTCCACGACGAGTGTCTAATGGGTCTGCACTATTAAGTCCCCGCAGTCCCCCGCAGCAGTTGATGAGTCCTTTACGACAGCCTCACCCAAAGTTGGTAGTGGAGCACAGCCCAGTTGATGGGTTTGACCGTGCCACTAGTCCTCCCGCCACTCCAACCAGTCCTATACCTGTGGGTGAGAGTGTTGGTCATCACAACACCAAAACATTTGCTGCTGACCTGAGACTTCCTGCCCTAGTACCTGCTCAGCCACCAGCACCACGTACCCTTACTATTGATCGCTCCCCAGCTGGAGACTTTGGATTTTCACTCAGAAGAGCACAGGTTGTTGAACGTAGTCCCGATAACACAGAGACGCGCCGCACCATTGTTTTTGCTGAGCCTGGGGCAGTTGGTCGTGCCAATGTAACCGGGCTACTTCCTGGTGATCGACTCCTGCAAGTTAATGGAATCAGTGTAGAAAACAAAATAAGAGATGAAATTATTGAGCTAATAAAAGCATCACCCAACTGTGTCACCTTAGTGGTAAGTACCTTACATTAATTTACAATATTTCTTCTTTCTTTAGTATTTGGTGTAAATACCAGGGCATGGTGGGTGTGCAAATGAGCAGAATGGGACTTATCATCTCAGAATGGTTTCAGATTCTTCATTAATTTTTCAGATTGCATAGTGCTTATAGCGGTCAAGAAGTTTTTGGTGAGAGTGTACAGTACTGTACAGTACATGAATTATTAAGAATTGTTTTTATCACTTGGGATCCAGGCTATTTGAAACAAATGCTTTAACACTTCCTGTTCTAGCTTCTTAACATCATCATTTAGCAAGGATATGTTAGCTGCATTCTTGGTAGAAAACAATGTGTTACAATGCCTAGGGAGAAGCACTGTTTTGTTCTTGTCTGCAAAGTAATACTTTGTACAGTACAGCCAGAGATGTTACTCCATTATTATTACACAGTGCAGTACAATACAGTGCAATACAATGTTATTTATAGATTTTTTTACAGTTTTTAAATTTTTTAATGGGTCAGCTCTTAGATTTAGAAAAACATTAATTCCATAATTCATTAGCTGTACAGTACTAGAAAAAAATCATTGTATTTTGTGTAACCTAACTTACTCAAGAATTTTGGCACCAAGGCTTCAGGATATACAGTACTGTACTACATATAGAGTACTGTACAGTATTGTAGAAGTTCATGAAAATTAAATAGAGTACAGGTTGTACCTCTCTAGTCCGGCAACCTCGGGACCTGACCGGTGCCGGACCATGGAAATTTCTGGACCATGAAAATTCACCCTTATCTTGGACAGATAGTGACTTGTGCTTACGTTTGCACCACTTTCACTGCTTCTTGGTCTCTTTGAAGACATATTGAAGGGTTAAATGTCGTACAGTAGCTTCTCAAATTTCGCGAGTTTTTAATTCGACGTTTTTTATTTGGACACACAAAAAAACACAACATAATTAAAAATTTTGACGGCGGAAACTCAAATTTCGACGGGCTTGATCAGTCCGCCAATGTTTAGGTGTGCACAATCGTGTAAACAGCGTCATTTCTCTTATGTACAAGAGATTCATTATGTCTTTTTTATTGAATTAATGTTTATGTGTGCAAAATGAGCAATACAATTCATTAATAATATGTAGAATATTAAAACACACGAGGAAATGAGACAGCATTGTTTTCGTTGATTACAAAACCAGTGACTGAGTGGTTCTACATATTAAACAAGAAAATAAGACCCTGGTTGTAGCTGTAGTAAAATTAATGTAAAAAATTAATATGGTTGTTTTAAGTAATGTTAGCTAATGTTAATAAATAGAACAATAAAAGTAGCAAACTATTTATGTTAAAGAAAAAAAGTGAGACTGCGCGTATGTAAGTGCGCACATGTGAAAACATATCGTCATTACTCTACATAAGAATATGAATGCAACACTTATTTACTATTCATATTTATTGAAGGGTTAAATGTTGTACTTTGTATGTTCAAACAGAGAGAGAGAGAGAGAGCCGAACTGCCGGATGTAAACAAACCTTAATATCCCGCGGCTTTGTTGTTGTTGTTTTTTCCGGGGATTATCCCACTCGGGCACAGGTCACTGACCCACATTGGAGCCTGAGGGGCGAAAGTGTAATACTCCTGTAATAATAAGAATAATTCAGTTAAGTAAAAAAAAAAAAAAGAAAAAAAATGCTGGTTATCTACCTATTGGGTAAACTAAAATCGTTCCGGACCACGGGAGTTTCCGGACCACAGAATGCCGGACTAGAGAGGTACAACCTGTACACTACAGTACAGTACCTGTATATGACATCCCCTAATTTTTCACTCATTCATTTGAAAATCTGTTTTTTTATTTTTTTTATACAATACAGTAGTATTGTTAATACTGTACCTGTAATCAGAAAGTATTTGATAGTTCATCATTTACAAAAGTACTATACTGTCAAGCACAGTCCTTCTTGTGTGATATTTATTGGTTTATTTGTATAAGATCTGGTAAAGGATGGCGCACTTGAGTATGGGTTTAAGCAGTGACTCTACTCTTTTGTTGTGGGAAATACAGTAATGGAGTCATGGTGATTCTCAGCAAATATTCATATTCTTTTTAAGTGCATGTACAGTATTGCTTGTGATAATTCTGTCTCTGAAAAGAAAAACTTGATATACTGTACAATAATACAGGAAGATTATATATTCTTTCTTAGGTGGTAGGAGTAGATTTATAGACTCCCATTAAGTTTTTTTCCTAACAAAATCATTATTGAGGGAGTTATGATTCTTATTTTCAAAGTAAACAGAATGTCTTAAATAAAGTTGGTGTGATTAGTACAGTAGCTGCAGGTAATAAATGTGAGCTTAACTGAGTTTTGATGTTCAATGGCAGCAATCTCCTCTGGATTGGTCAATCCCATTCCTCCCAGTCTCGGTGGTAGTGCAAGGAGTGATCTTTCTGCTAGGATGCTATACTTCATGAAAATAAGAAATGGCCATCACTGTGGAAAAGATACAACAATTGTAGTTCACAACTATGGTTGCTCTAGTCTTTTGCCTTTACACTCAAGAAATTATTTTCTGTTAATGTACGATATTGACAGACATTGTAGGTACATATGCCAGCCCCTCCACCCTGGCTCTGGCTTTGTAAGATTCAGAACACCTTTGACTGTTTGAGTTCAGAATTACTCTCAGACTAGCCAAAACTGTGTTGATCTTGCATTTATTTATGTATGAGGAGTAGTGAACTTCTCCCAAAAAAAAAAAAATAATAATAAATAAATAAATAAAAATAATAATAATAAATAAATAAATAAATAAAAATATATAGCGTTGTTTTGACTAACAATGAAATTGGCAGTATTGTATGTGAGTAACTGAAAGAGTTTCAATATGGTGGCTTGAGCGACGTTCTCTTGTATAAGGCTTAAGAGTTATTCAGTGCAGAAGGAGACAGCTGTGATATTTTTTAATTTGTTTGGTGATGAAATGTTATAGTTTGGCTAAAATATTTTGGGTTGGCTCTGTGTGTGTGTGTGTGTGTGTGTGTGTGTGTGTGTGTGTGTGTGTGTGTGTGTGTGTGTGTGTGTGTGTGTGTGTGTGTGTGTGTGTGTGTGTGTGTGTGTGTGTGTGTGTGTGTGTGTGTGTGTGTGTGTGTGTGTGTGTGTGTGTGTGTGTGTGTGTGTGTGTGTGTGTGTGTGTGTGTGTGTGTGTGTGTGTGTGTGTGTGTGTGTGTGTGTGTGTGTGTGTGTGTGTGTGTGTGTGTGTGTGTGTGTGTGTGTGTGTGTGTGTGTGTGTGTGTGTGTGTGTGCAGGGGTCGGAGGTGTGGGACGGTGTGTAGTGTATGGGCGGGGTCGGGGGGGTGTGGGTGTGGTGAGGGGCAGGTGAGCGGTGGAGGTGGGGGGGGTTGTCGTGCATCACAAGTGAAGGCCCCAGGGTTGACGGTCGTACAGACAGACACTCAGACACACTGCTCAACTTTGACGTTTAGATTATTAGAGCATGACTGTGGTGCATTGTACCTGGTGTGTCCCGTTTACCATGACGTGCAGGTTTCCCTCTCTACTAGTCGTTTTTGGTGGCTCACACCCACCCACACACACCACTCACACACCACTCACACATCACTTACGTATATGAGGATTGCTGTTCGTTGTAATTTTTTTCGCCTGTATACATGTTCAAAAAGTATCTATGCACTTTGGTCCGATGATTTCCTAAATGATCATTACACCTATGCCGCAACGTAACCACCAACACGAACCACGCTACACAGTGTTTGCAAGATTAACGTGATTTTTCCCTAAATGTTCAAATGATAACAATGATTACTATGGATAAAACGGGAAATGTAGCAAGCAAGCGATATATGGCATTTTGCAATATCTATCTTCTTTGGCGTCATATTGTTTCGCGTAAAATGTGCAGATACTTTTTGATCGTGTGTGTGTACGCTCACCAGTATCGGGGGAAAATTATAAATAAGTAATTTTTAGGAATTTCCGTAATTTCTCTTTTTAGTTGAGGGGGTGAAGGTGTCTGTGGGGAATTTGTTAGATGAAGGTAAAGAGAACTCACTAGTATGGGTAGTGTTTGACCTGTGTGATAATAAGTGTTCCTCGTTATTGGATTTGGCAGGATGTTGTGTTGAGGCAGACGAGGATTTGTTTAGTAGCGACTGGAGTAGTTCCTATCTGGTGACTTTTTGTGAGATTTGGTTTGTTTTGGACTTTTTTTTCATTCCCAGATAAACAACACAAACAATAAACAATCGATCAATGAGTCAATCAAAGTGCCGCCCCAGGTCCTCCATTCCTAACGTTGTCTGGCTGTCATCACCAGTCCTCCCAGAGTTTGTTTACCCGTCTCAGTCTCTGCATTCCTAACCTTGGTTTTAATATTTAATCTCTATACCATAATCTCATAACTAATATTGTAAGACTGAATTTCTGCATTTCTTTCGTTCTTTTAGTCAATCTTAATACTTGTTCATTTGTATTCCTGCCAGCGTACAGTCTCACCCAAACGTTCGTTAACTCTCCCAACCAGCTATTGCTGCACTGCCTGCTTCAGATGTTTGAAACTGTCTCAGTACCAACCAGAACATGAAACTGATACGAATGAATCTATAGGTTCGAAATAACAGACTCAGGTTCATACATCTGAAGCAGGCAGTGCAGCAATATCTAGCTGGGAGAGTTAAAATTTTTTTGGGTGAGGCTGTACCATATCTTTTAACATTCTTGGGATCACGTGTAGTCTCCACTCCAGTTCAATTCATGTAAAGATTGACCACCCTAATACTCTTTTAAAAAATAATAATAATTAACGGTTTATTGAAAGAGCATAGCAGCCAGAAGGCTGAAAATATACAGTACAGTTACATAATTGGGGAATGGGTTTCGATTTACAAATAATATTACAAGTAACATAAGTGGTACAAATAAGATATATAATAACTAGATGGGGAAAAGCTCAAACTACAGGGCATTTCAACATTGTAACAGTGCAAGAAGT